TTTTTGTTTTTTTTTTCCTTGCGTTATGCGGGCCTCTCACTGTTGTGGCCTCTCCCATTTGCGGAGCACAGGCTCCGGACGCGCAGGCTCAGCGGCCATGGCTCACGGGCCCAGCCGCTCCGCGGCATGTGGGATCTTCCCGAAACGGGGCACGAACCCGCGTCTCCTGCATCGGCAGGCGGACTCTCAAGCACTGCGCCACCAGGGAAGCCCGATGTTGATTATCTTTATTCACTCAAATGGAGACTTTGGTATGACAGTGATCTTTTTTTAAAATAAACTTATCCTGGGCATTTTGGGTATTGTTATAAGACTCTAGATCTTATTTAAATTTATGGTCTTAGGAGACCTCCCCCCCCTTCCCAGCCCCCTTCCCGCCTGGGGTAGAAGGAGGGGCACTGCCTCATTGTCAGGTGGGAGTGGCATCCAAGTTTCTTGCTCAGCCTGTTTGACATTGACAGGGAAGAGGTGCCTCATTATTGCTGGGTAGGGGATGGAAATCCAGGATCCCCATGTGGCCTCTGTAGGAGGGGGAACAATTTTCTTCGGTTGGTCTAATAATTAAACTGATATGGCAGTGATGGGTTTCAGGGCAGGCCTTCCCAAGATGTGCCACTTTGGCATGCAGAGAATTTAGAGCTGAAAGCAATCAAGGCCCAAAAGATGCAAGAAGAACCTCTGACCTTCCCCCTAAATGCCTAAAAGAATTTTAGATAGAGAACCTGTTCCGGGAAGGCAGCTCTCACCCTAGTTAACTACAGTATAATTTGAATGAGGTGTGCAGACAGGGGGGAACCTAGCAAAGACTGTTCATTAAAATTTTTTCCTGGGTGCCATTGTTTCTGTTTGGCCCAGCAAACATTTGTTCACAAAACATTTTCTTTTTTTCATCTTCCTGTGAATTGCCTTCCTACCCTTTGAAGTCCCAAGCCCGTATGTAACCTCTTCTCTCAGATGGCATAATAAGCCTCAACTGCCTAACGTGTCCTTGGGTCTCATTTTTCTTATTGTGTCCGACCCACAAATGAAATGAAATTTAATTTTTTCCTGTTAATTTGTCTCATGTCAATTTAATTCTTAGACCAGCCAGAAGAACCTAGAAGGGTAGAGGAAAATTTTTTCCTCCCCAGCGACCCCAAGGGCACACCATGTCATCACCTAGAACACTCTGGCACTATTTATTTATGTTGAATAAATGCTAAATGTACATCTCTTTCGAGTTCTGTTGACCCTTCTAATTCACAGTGATTACTCTTCTCCATGTGCTCTTATAATATTTATTGCTTAAAACCTTCAGTTTTGGATGCAAAAAATGCTGTACTATTTAAACTTCAGGTATACAACCCCCCAGCTCCCCACCCCCTGCCCTTTTCAAAAGAGTATGATGTCTTCAAGGCAGCATCTGAGATACCTTTTTACATCTCCATCATGGGTTTTGAAACATTTCAGACACTGAGCCAGTGTTGATGTATATTGCTGTTGTCCATGGTGAAGATTATAATAAATAATAAAAAGGAAGTGAATATTGTTAAGAGAAAACGTCATAGGAGTCAAAAGACTTGAGAGAAGGTAAAAAAGAAACAGGAAATGAGCATCTTTACTCTCCTGCTTGGTTGCCTGGATCAAAATATAGTTCTCTGACCGAGTTGGTTTAGAAGTAATTTTCTCACACCCAGGCTCTTGTTCCTTTTACCATCCTGTTAGTTAGTAGACTTTTAGGCTGGAGTCCTCAAAAATTCCTGTAATAGTAATCCGCCTCCATCTGGGCCCCATCTATTTCTATTTCATGGACCATTAAAGGAAAAAACGGCAAGCTCTCCCTCGGTAATTTCTCTTAATTTTATGTTCCTCAACATGAGAGCGTAAGACCAAACACTCTGTAGTAATATTAATATAGTGTTTTATAGTAATATACTGTAATCTCATTTTGAGTATTTATGTGCTGTAGGGTGTTTGTTCTCTCTCATTTCTTAGGAGTCCTTATGTGCTGCAAAATTTTCACTCTAACTGCAAGAAGTTCAGTACGATATGGAGAATGATGGAGTTTTCTAAAGTAATTAGAATCCTGTGTGTGGCAGCCAAGTGAGAAAAGAGGGAGGGTAGGAAGGTTGAGAGTGGCACTGGGGAACGACGACAAAGTTTTTCAGACAGGATTTTGTTGTCCTTGGGCCCATTAACCTTGGAAAAGGCAAACAAACTGGGTCTCTCAGTTTCGCAATCTCTAAAATGAGGACAGTACTCACTCTACATACCTCCCAGGTGATCCTGGAAGGCTTCCTAGGTAAGCTATGAATGAAACGGAAGACTTTCTGGATCATCCAGTTCTTGCCTTCAGTTTTCGTTGTTCAGATAGTTTAACACTTGGCCCAGGACAAAAAAAATTTTGTTTCCTCTTCTCCCTCTTTCCTGTCAAAGAGTTAAGGAATTAGAAGAGTTAAAGTAACACTGGGCACAAAAGTACCTACCTCTTAAATATTATGTTTCGAAATTGTGCTGCATTCCTTTCCAAAAATCATGAGTCACAATTTCAATAGCAAAAAGTCAGAATAAGAATAATCACTCCTGCTTCTGATTGCATTTAAGAACAGTGCTTTGAAGAAACCAAATAGACTCCATTATTAACAGTATTAAAAGCCCACCAGACTGTATGAGATTGGAGCAAACAGAAAACTCACACTAGACGGAAACCTTGTATGCAAATGAAGGATGCAGATTCTGATTTCCCATTGGTTCTTAAATAGTAGCCAATGGGAGAATAGCACAAGCCTACCGCTGGTTAGTATAAATATTGTTCTCGCCGCTGTTTTGTTTATTGTTTGCTTTTTATTTTGAAGGCTTTTAAGTTGTGGTCTATTAGTTATGTCTGGTCGTGGTAAACAGGGTGGCAAGGCTCGTGCTAAGGCTAAGACCCGCTCCTCGCGAGCTGGGCTCCAGTTCCCCGTAGGCCGGGTGCACCGCCTGCTCCGCAAGGGCAACTACTCCGAGCGTGTTGGTGCCGGGGCGCCGGTGTACCTGGCGGCGGTGCTGGAGTACCTGACGGCCGAGATCCTTGAGCTGGCGGGCAACGCGGCCCGCGACAACAAGAAGACGCGCATCATCCCGCGTCACCTGCAGCTGGCCATCCGCAACGACGAGGAGCTTAACAAGTTGCTGGGGCGCGTGACCATCGCTCAGGGCGGCGTCCTGCCTAACATCCAGGCGGTACTGCTCCCCAAGAAGACTGAGAGCCACCACAAGGCCAAGGGCAAGTAAAGTGTTTATTACTTTTGCACGGCAATTTTGTTTTCCATTGTCCAAAAGAAAAAAAAAGGCAACTTACAAAGGCTCTTTTCAGAGCCACCCACCTTTTTCGTTTAAAGAGCTGTCATGCTTTTCAGTTCTGCCGATATGAGGGTTGTGATATCAGGTGAAAAATCACAGCTCATAAGTGAGTGTCCCAAGGGAAGTCAGTAAAGAGTATGTGCGAAATGACTGTGAGGAAAGCCACAGGAGTTTAAATTGACCGGATTAACTACAGGTGAATCAGCTTATAGTCAAACTACTTTCCTCTGTTCCAGCGGTGACTTTTGTAAAGTTTTTCCCACTGGAGTGAGGAAAGTATACTCACTTTCACTATAGTGAAAAACGCTGTATTTAAAGTTAACTTTCAACATTTTTTGTTGACTTAAAGGAACACCCAAAACCTCTGCATCTATTCAACTTTGTAAAAACATTACACATTTCCTGAAGGGATTGAGTAAATTACAGATCCTTGGTACTTCGCGCTCGTGTCAGAAACATCTTCCTGGCTCCACAATGTGCCAGACTCAAGAAAATCTGAGTATCATTTTAGATGCAGCCCATCTAATTTTTCTAAGCACTTCCAAAATATCTTTGGTGATTGTACTTTAAAAAAGAAAAAAAAAGAGGGTTTCCCTGGTGGCGCAGTGGTTGAGAGTCCGCCTGCCGATGCAGGGAACGCGGGTTCGTGCCCCAGTCCGGGAAGATCCCACATGCCGCGGAGCGGCTGGCCCCGTGAGCCATGGCCGCTGAGCCTGCGCGTCCTGGACCCTGTGCTCAGCAATGGGAGAGGCCACAACAGTGAGAGACCCGCGTACCGGGAAAAAAAAAAAATTACACAAAAAATCAATCCGTTGGCGGTGCCAGCGTTGCTTTGTTTAATTTTGCTGTACGTTTTGGAAGCGAAAGCGTAAATAAAATGACCTCAGGGCGTCGGAGTCGCTATAGTTAAAGGGCAGGGTTTAGGATTAATTCACCAACCCGAAAGCAGCTCTTAATTCTTCCGGGGCCAGGCACAGAAATGGACCAATCTGAGGAGGGCGCGGGTACTTTTGAATGTTCTTGGGTCCAATAGTTGGTGGCCTGGCTGTATAAATGAAGGACGGCTGAGTGCTTTCTGTTGGCATTTGGGAGGGCACTCGTCGTGGGGTTTTTGCCATGGCTCGCACTAAACAGACCGCTCGTAAATCTACCGGCGGCAAGGCGCCGCGCAAGCAGCTGGCCACCAAGGCGGCCCGCAAGAGCGCGCCGGCCACGGGCGGCGTGAAGAAGCCGCATCGCTACCGGCCCGGCACGGTGGCTCTGCGCGAGATTCGCCGCTACCAGAAGTCCACGGAGCTGCTGATCCGCAAGCTGCCGTTCCAGCGCCTGGTGCGCGAGATCGCTCAGGACTTCAAGACCGACCTGCGCTTCCAGAGCTCAGCCGTGATGGCGCTGCAGGAGGCGTGCGAGGCCTACTTGGTGGGGCTCTTCGAGGATACCAACCTGTGTGCCATCCACGCCAAGCGCGTCACCATCATGCCCAAGGACATCCAGCTTGCCCGTCGCATCCGTGGTGAAAGAGCGTAAACTTGTTTTTCCATTAAGTGCTGATCTTAACCCCAAAGGCTCTTTTCAGAGCCACCTACAACTTCATTTTGAAGAGCTGTACCGTAAGGAAGTAAAATTCTCCCCTTAAGAAAGGTGGGTTAGGGTAGAATTCTTCCTGTCCCAACTCCTTCCGCCACAGCCAGACGTTATTGGAGTTGTGTGAGGCGAGGGTCTAACCATATTTCCTTAACAGGTAGCCATTCCAGGCATAGTTTATCAAACCTTAATTTAATTATGGCCCTGCTTGTAAATAGTCCAGTTGATTGCATTGCTTTATCTCACGTTGCTTTTGTCTTCTAGGGCTATGTACCATGGTATGCTATGCTGTACAATTTTTTCACAATTCTGTGCTGTAGTTGTTACTCAAATACAGGACTTTAGCCATTTGACTCAGTGATCTTGCTTTTACGTTTTTTCGGTTTGGGGATTCTGTACTGGGTGAAAAGTGACACATGGGATAGTGACCAAATGTGAGAAGAAAAATAACCTTTTTATTGTGTAGCTTTTACACTATATTTTACAAACTATAAAATACAGAATGCTGAAAAACATGACAGCCACCAATTCTGAAGGCTTTGCTTCAGTTTTTTCCATACCCTATTCCTAGTAGTCTGCCTACCTCTGAGATGAGAATTGACTCACATTGCTAAAATGATTTGCCCAACTCCCACCTAAAACAAAACCCACAAAATACACAGTAATGTGTGTTGTGTTGTTCACTTGGATTTATTTACATTTCAGGGTTTCAATAAAAACTTTTGGTTTACAAAATAATGTATTTTTTTTAGTGACAAAGATATTTCTGTGTATATTGTTTTATTTTAACATTTTATTTTTTCCAGACTGGTATAAGCCTCTGCCTGGCACAGACCTTTGTTACCCATATAAGGGGTCTGTCAGAGGCAACAATGCCCTTGGCTTAAACCAAGATGATTTTGCCCCTCAGCTCTTGGCCCCTGCTGAAGTCCAGGTATCTTGGTTTTTCTTGTTTATTGCTGTGCTGGCTCTTATGTACACTGTTTGACTTTTTCCTTTAATATTTTATGTATCTTGGGAAAAAAGTTTTATGTACAGGGCCTGATAGGATAGCTTTTAAAAAGTAAAAGTGCCCATTGCTGTCTGAGGATCAGATAGGCAGGGGACAATGGCTGGGACTGGCTGATCCTTCCCCTCCCCAGCCAAGGAACATGGATTTGGCTTTAAGTCTTCATTTACTTGAGCCCCTCAACAGAACAACTGTGCAGTATCTAGGAAAAAAAGGTTAACACAGTCTTAAAATTCATAACCTTGTTAATTTTTCTAGGGTATACTCTGCAAGCTGGCAGCATTTGGATTCTAGCTTACCCGAGTTCATATACCAGCTTTACTACTTAATGTGTCATCTTAGACAAATCAATTTCTCCATCATCAGAAAAATGGGGGTAACATGACCCACTTCGTAGGGTTGTTATTAGAATAATATGCATCAAGTTTGGGACACATAGCATCATATAAATGCTATTAATTTTCCTGAACTGTGTATCATTTTCTCTCATACTCTAGGATTTTTCAAAATTTGAAATAAAGACAAACTTTAGCTTCTAAATTTCCCTTTTACTTGGCATTACTTACTTGCATAGATTCTGCTCAGTTTAGAAATAAAATTCAGGCATTTTAAAATCAAACGTGGAAGAACATCAAATTTGTGAAAGAAAATTTACTGAACACTTTGAGCAGGGGGATGGTGCCAGCGTTTTAACATCATTGCATTAAGCATCTATTATTTTATATTAGGGGAGTGACTAAGGTTGGGCTGAAGACAAAAGGGGGTGTTTAATGTACAGATTGTATCTTTTAAATGGCTGCTGCAAGGTCTTCAGTCAGAAAGGGTTTTTCTTACTCAGGCCCACAGAGTGATGTTACACCACAGGTTGAAGTTTACAGCTAATGCTGTTGGAGTCTAGAATGAGGTTTGGTTTGTTATAAAGTCTCTCAAAGGAAAGGAGGAGGAAGTCAAGGTCAGGGTAAATTTTTCAGACTTAAAAATTTAGTAGTAGCCTTTCCAGTTGTCCCAGTAGAAGTGAGTTACTGCTCAATGAGTGTTTTCAAAAGATTTAACACAATAGTGGGAAACTGGTATGGAGATTTGAACAGCACCCCAGGCTTGGCTGCAGGAAAGCTAGAAGCCTGAGACTGTCAGTGCACCTTGGGAGAGGGCCCAAAGGAAAATATTTGGACCCACCATGTTTAACATGTCGTATGAAAAACAAAACAATGCTTTGACACTTTGTGCTTTATTAGATGCTGTGATTAAAAAAAAAAACAATCCTCATGAGTAAATGCATATTTGTATGATTGATACTGTGTTAGGAGTAAAGGTGAGACCTCAGGGCAATATCTCAAGTCCAGGAAGATTCTTTAAGAAATAATACCAACTGAAAACAAGTCACATTTATATAGGACTTCGTGGGCCAATCTCTGTTCCAATGCTTTGCTTACAATAGCTAAATTAAATCTTCACTAGAGTTCCATCAGTGTTATCATTACCCAGTTTTACAGATAAAGAAAACAAAGGCAAGGCTAAAGGTCACACAGCTGTAGGGAAGGAAAAATAAATTTCCCTCTAGAGACCCCTGAAATAAAAGACAGATTAACAAGAGAAAAACAAAACAGAAGTAACATGTAGCCCTCATGTATATGTGGGAGATACCCAGGGAAAAATGAGTAACTCCTCAAGGTGGCTTAAAATTCAGACTTAAACACCATCTTGATAGGGAAGAGGGGTTGGGGGGGTGGTATGTATGTAGGCCTCTTAGGGGAGAGTAAATAATTTTTAGGAAAGATGATTGGACACTTAGAAGAATAGATGGGAGAGGTATGACAGGATAAAATAAAATTATGTTTAAGGCAGGACAAGAAAATTTCTAAACAAAATTTTCTCTCTGCTTATTTGGGCCACTACCCCTCTTTAGTGTGCATTGTGCACATTACAGATTGACCAGACTTCCTTAGAAGACACAGGAATGC